GTAACTTTATAATTAAATACTATTAAGATTCATGTTCACATGAGTATTTCACTATTTCTTAATGTTATAATCAGTATATTTTTAAAATGTCATTGTGTCTAGAACACATTTTGTATATGGAAAGTATAATAATATGGAAGAAAGTGGATATAGCAAGGTGGAAACCATCGACATATGATTAAATAATTTGATTTGCTTAGTATAATTTCCAGTTGATTGTAGGAGAAGGGTATGAAGCATTAATTGATATTGTATAGTTAGATCCATTTATTATATGGCCAAACAATTAACTAAGTAGGTGCAACAATCTTTTTAAGTAGATTTTTTTAAAAATTATTCTTATAATGTCTTACACAACAACAATGTCAATAACAAACAAAAAGAGTCCTATTAACTCCTTTTTTTTTTCATTTTCAGCAATGGTGGCACGCCTTTGGCGATAGTGAAAGATAGGATAAAGAGATCCATCACGTGTGTAATGAACTAATGGGTGTTGTTTGGCAGCCTTCGCCCACGCACAATGCTACTAAACATATGGAGAGCTCGTCCGGGCTGCCCATAGGGAACCGTATGAGCCGCTCCTCTCACTGTGGCAAACGTCAACAGCTCTCCGAACTCAGTGACCCAGCCGCCAACCTAGTCACAACCACAAGTTTGCAATCGGTGAGAAGAGGTAAAAAAATGGATTCTGAATTCAATTGAAGTAGAGAATTTAATTACCTGGTCTTTGTAGAACCATTGCCCATATGGAAGCGTGGTACTGAAGTTAAGCTCACGAGCGAGTTCTCCTATGAGACTTCTAGTTCCAAGAAATGGAACTATAGAGTCTTGATCACCGCTGCAATTTGACAAAACTGGGAGTTTAGTACAAAATAAATTATAAAAGGGATCTTTAAATAGAGTTGTTACCTGAAAATAAAAACCGGAGTTTTGTTCTGTATGATTCTCTTAAGAAGAGGAAGCATGGTGATGCTCAAGTCGATGCCACTGTAATTCACCAGGCTGTGACATACCAATCAGTTATAAAAGTATATTCACTAATCAAACTAAAATGATAGAGAATAAAAAATGCTTTACGTGCTGCACATAGACCATTCGTAAGGCAGACGAGTGCGATTCGCGTGAAGAGCGTGTTGGACCTCTGGGAGATTGAGATAGAACTTCCTTTCGTAAGTCATACAAACATCCACTCCCATGCTCATGTGTGTAGCCTGAAACAATTTTCTAGAAGTTTAACAAAAAGATGAATAAATATTTTGTTATTAAAATTCAAAAAGGGGGAGGTTGACCATTTTCTGGAGCCTCAGCTCTTGCTCGACAATAGATGGGTGGCATAGGTCGCGGAGAACATCATAGACGTCGACATACCGAGAAACAACGCTCACATCAGTGAGAGCCTCGATGCACGCGTTGCTTACGTTTGGGATATTTTTAAAATCACATTGCTTGACGATTTCGAGTCTAAGCTCGTCCGAAATAATCCCATGCGACCATAAGTAGTCGTAAACAGCTGAAGTGTCTGTGCTAAGCCTTAGAAGTGGATTCCCAATCTGATCATATATTCAAAAAAAAAAAAACAAGCAAATGTATCGGAAAAGAGCTTAAAGAGTTGATGAAACTTCAAGAAGAAGATTATTTTGCTTACTGCAATCCCTTTGACATTGAATTTGAACCCACTTGACTGTCTGTTATAGCTGTGTATAGCATCAGCCAGTTGAGGTATGTAATGCCCTGCAAGAAAGTGAACCCGATATATCAACATAAGACACTTAATAAAGTAATTTCTAATGAAACTAAAATCAGCAACATGATCAAACACACCTGCGTAGCTTTCCCCAGTGAGAAAGAAGTCACGAGCTTTCAACTCTGGGAACTTGCTGAACCATCTCAGCAGGAACACAAGCATATCTGTCGCTGTTGAAATACAAAACATGTCAATAAACAATAGTCTTCTAAATTGTTTTTTATATATATTCAGATTAATAATTGCCAAATTTGGTCTTCTAAATTCTAATATAAGCTGAAAATGGGATCTTGAATTTTCACCAGTAGTTTCGTCCCCGGTGTTGTAATCAGAGCTTTTATTGGAGTAAGACCATCCTACCCCGGCCGGAGACTCCACAAAAAGCAGGTTTGAGGCTACACATTTTAAGATAGCATCATAGGTAGGTAGAAGCAAATAGTTCTGTTCTATTTACATAAATACTATATAAAAGGAAAAAAAAAAACAACCTTTGTTCCACGACATGGAGTTGATGCGGAGGCCACGACCATCTCCTGTTGGGTAAAATGGACCCAACTCAGTGAAAGCTCCTCCACCAACCGATGAACAACCTGGACCTGCAAGACCAACCTCAATTTCATAACTCACATCCTTTTGATACTCAAATGTCAGGAGCAAGCAAAGATAAGTTTAATTAACATCTTAACCATTATACAACAGGATTCATGACAAAAACCGAAGCGATTAACATACGAACCTCCATTAAGCCAAAGGGTTAAGGGTTTGGTCTCAGGTTCTGTGGCTGCTTCCACAAAGTAGTAGAAGAGGCTACGGCCTGTTTTGGTGTCAACCTCTACATAGCCTGCATACTGTCTAAATAAGACTTTTGGTTGACCAGGAAGCCTCACCACAAGGTCATCTTCTGGATACCCTTCTGCAAAGTTGCAACCCAACCACTGCACTGTAAGCACGACCACCACCATTCTCACCGCGAAGGCACCGTACGACACCATGATCTGAAACATATCATATTACAAATAAACAACAATAAGTTCAGTTATAAACTAATTCCAGTCTCACTAATTCCTTATAAACATACAGATCAGGAACATAAGCCACAACGAGAAGACAATTAGATGTTTGTGTTCGTACAGAAGTAGAACTCTCTGTTTCCTTGAGCTCTAACTGTTTACGTCTTTTATGTTATTTAAGTAAAGTTTGTGCTGATTATAAGAGCTACAAAGAAAAAGAACATCAATACAATGCAGAACACAGAAGTAGAAGACGAGCTTTACCATGTTTTTGTCCTTTTAGCTGCGAGAAACCACGAAAACAGTATTAAGAAAGGAAGCTAAAGGATTCGAGAAGATGAAGTATGCGTCGGTGGCTGACGTCTCTGTTTGGAGAAGAAGATGAAACTTTTGTTTTGTTTTTTCTTAACAGCTTTCGTCTTCCTCAACTCTGCCACTTCCACTCTCTTTTAAACTCAGCCAATAAGCAGTTCCCCTTTCGAAAATAATAATACGTTTTTAATTAAAAATAGCTTTTGTTTATATTTATTGACGACCGTCAATTGTTTGTATACCTTTTATTAAAGAAGTTCTCCTAAAGGGAGAGCTTCCTTTTACAATCGACGACATGAATAGCTAGCTTCATTTTTGGTGAATCCTTTTCAAACCAAATATCGCTTATAAGTAAAAAGAATAAAATTATCGAAATTAAAATGTTAAATAAAAAGAAGTCAAATAGATATAATAACATGATAAATTTGGCACTTTAAAATGTATTTTGTTAAACAGCATTTTCTGTATACAATAACGTACGTTTCATAACTTCCGTAGAATTTTTCTTCCTTTTTCATTTCACCAAAAACGGGAGAGTTTAGGTCGAACATTATTACAATCGTGTTTGTTCACATTAGTTACGGGAATATAATGATTGACGCGTGTCGTAAAATGATTGAATCTCTCATGTGAAAGAGGAAAATGGAAACAAAAAGCTCTGAAAGCTGAGAGTCAGTACACAAAAATGGTAGCAAGAGAGTGATGTGTTTGGAGCAAAGTGCTTTTTCTATTCTCCAAGTCTTTATCGACCATAATGCCGTTGTCGTCATTATTATTATTATTCTTTTTCTGTGGCATACCATTGGGTGTAGTTGTATTTAACCTCGTAGTGTTATGCTGCATAGTTAATTATATGAGGCCTTAGAGTTAGAGCTTCTGATCGAAATAGACACATATTTTGAATTTTTAAGCCGAAAGTTTATGCACCCGTGTTATAGACTCGTGTAGAATTTTGAAAAGTTGTATTTTCTATAATTTTTTGTATATATGTTCATTATTGTGGATTGAGTTTTTTTTTTCTTGTAAAAATGTGCACTGCCATAATCACCTATCTTTTGAGTCATTTTGTCAATATAATTATCTTTTGATGTCATATATAACCGAGAGTAATGCCTTATTGCCTTTGCGTAAAAAGAAAGAAAAGAAAACCGAGAGTAAATTAGTAGGCATAGCTTTAGTAAAGGGTTTCGTCCAGACTAGGCAAAAGTGTTCGTAAACAAGTCTACTATAACATCAAGACATTTTCCACAACAAAAGTACCATCTTGACCTAAATGGCAACGTCCGTCTTATCTTCTCCCCCGAGGCTATGTACACTAGAATGTTGACATTTTCCGCAAAACCATACTTGAAAATCTTAGCTATAACAAATTTACTTTATCAAACCCTGTGTTTGTAAATTTGATTGAAGCAAGAGAATAAAAGGTTTTGTATAAGAAACTATCAATTTTCTAAAATCTAATAAATTCTCGCCATCCAAAAACATATAATTTACCATGACAAATATACGAAGACTTGTTTCACTAGTCATCTTGATATTTTACATTTAAATATTTTATTCACTGAATTAATATTTTGTTGTCTTCAAACAAGGATTTTCTCTCTCAAAGTATTTTTTGGTGTACTAATGTTCAAAGGATCTATATTAATATTCATGTTACGAGTACATTATTATTATATCTAATAATGTTAGTTGAGTCTTTTCTACATACAACAACATTTACAAGAAACACATTTGCCAAATGGTTTTAGCTCCACAAAACCTCTCACATAATGCATCTCCTTCTCTTCCTTGTTTACTCGAATCACAGCATTTTTGGTATTAATGGATAAAGACATGAGAATCAAAAAAATGTAAACAGTAAAGAGAATATAGGTACCCGGGGAGCAATGCACATTAGATAGTACAAAGAAGATAGTGAAAACAAATGCGATAAATATGTCTTCAAGATACCCATGTTATATAAACTTTTCTCAATTTTTGATTAGTTTTCTATTTTTCTTTTGATGTTTGATAAATATAATAATATAAACTTCAATAAAAGGAATTTTCCTTCTAAAAATCTGGGATTTTAATTTTTAGATTATAGTCAAAATAATATCATAACTAATTACTTATCTGATATTATGTGTTTTCCTGCATCATGTGCAGTGGTAAATTTTTTAAAAGTTAAATTATAATTAAAATGAAATTTATTAATATTACATATTTTATTACTTTGACTAATATTTAATATAAATATGGTTTAATTAAGCAAAAATTAAGGAAAAATAAATATTTTTATTTTAAATTATATTTAATAATATATTTAAAATTTGAATCTTAATATTTTTAATCTATTTATTTTGGTTAAATGTATTAAATCTACTTGTGTAAAATTACTAAGAAAATTCTTATTAAATTGCATAGTTATTAAAAATTATAACTAAAAAATATTTATAAAATTTGTCGATATCTAAAGTAACTAATGATATTAGTAATAAAAAAGATGTAGAAAATTTATTCATTTTTTTAAAAGATGTAGAAAATTTTGAAAATATTAGTAATAAAAATTGTCTAATTATAAAATCAAAATTAAATAACATTTCAAAATTTATAATGCATATTTCAATATTTATTTTTAATGATTGATTTGATTTAAGAGTTATTACCATATTTTAAGGAGTTTAACAAAAATATAAATCAACATTAAATGCAATGTATCAGTTATTGCCATATTATATAAAGTTTACCAAAAATATATATCAGCAATACATATAATTGTTCATGTCATATTTAACTATAAGCCATATCATCAATCTTACTAGCCATGTCATCATTTTTTTGTTGTAAAAATGATTGTAGAGATGAAATATGGCAAACCATTTTGCAAATAATATATAAGGGATAATTTTATCCTTCGTGTAAAATCTATTCTTTAAAGAAAATATCTTGTCAGTATAGTGACTTTTTTTTATTTGATATAGATTTTGCAAAGTCTTTTGGTTTTAATTTAGATGATTATTATTATTATATCAAAAAAATGTAAACATTAAAATGAATATAAATACCTGTGGAGCAATGAACATTACATACTAAGAATAAGATAGTGAAAAAAATGCGATCAATATTTTATTTGATACCCATGCTATATAAACTTTTCTTAATTTATGATTAGTTTTCTATTTGCTTTCAATTGTTTGATATATATATAAGAAGATAAATTTAAATAAAATGAAATTTCCTTCTAGATATCTTTGAATTTAATTTCTTAGATTTATATTCAAAAAAATATCCTAATTAATTACGTACCTCATATGATATCATCATTGGTGTAAAATATTATATCTAATAGAAAATATCTTGTCAGTATAGTTTTTTATATTTGATATAGACTTTTCAAGGTCTTTTGGTTATAAATTTAAATTATTATTATGTGAGAGTATATCCTTAGTATTAGACAAAATAACTTTAGAAATGATATTTACTTTATTTTCATAACATATTTTACAAACTGATATATTTCATATCAGAGGAATCCAAACGTTATCTAATAAGAAACTTGGAATATGAGTATTACGCACATAAAAGTGATTATTTTAGTTAAATATAATCTAAAATCTTTAAATTGTTATATCTTATGAAAAATGTATTTGTTTGCTAACTATTTTGGAATTTTTGTGTTTAAAACAAATTATATTCCGAGTTTTAATTTTCTTATGACAATTTCTATTTTAATAAAATCCTAACACATAATTTATAATATATTTATACATAAAATATATTTATGGTTGTTCTGTTCTATACAAAAAAACTGATATTATTATTTTCTCTTGCAATATCAACACATATAGAGAAATTGTATAATAATTATGAGCTGTCAAATATACAGCAAAAAGTAGGTAACAAATATGTAAATCTTGAAATGAATTACACTTATGTAACCAAATAAAATTAAAATTTTAAACTTATGTTTTAGTGAAAAACTGATACATAAATAGATATATAAGTACAAAATTTTGATTTCTATTTTATGTAAATAATTATGACCAAAGTAAAATCATATTGTAACAATAAAATATTTTATAATTCATAAATAGTGACTATATGTTTTATTAATTATTTAATATGTTGGTATAACCTGTAAGTACGCAAAATATACATAATTTAGGATTAGATTTTAAACTACAAGATTCAAATCAAAAGCATAATCGAAAATCTTATCTACAACAAATTCTACTTTACCAAATACAGTTTTGTACAATTGATTAAAGCATGAAAATAAAATAGTTTCTGTAGGAATATATAAAATCCATATAATATAATATATTCTAGTCATCCAAAATGATATAGAATTTACCATGACAAGTATATAAGACTGGTTTCACTAGTCACCTTGATATTTTACATTTAAATATATTATCAGTTGAATTAATATTTTTTTCTTTGAACAAGGATTTTCTCCCTCAAAGTAATTTTGGTGTGCTAATGTTTAATGGATCTCTATTAGTATTCTTGTCACGAGTATAATATTATATTATCTAAGAAAGTTAGTTGGGTCTTTTTGACATACAACAACATATACCATAAATACATTTGCCAACTAATTGAATGTTTTTAGCTCCGCAAAACATATCGCATAGTGAATCTCCCTCGCTTCCTGGTTTACACGGATCGTAGCATTTTTTTGTAGTCCTGTTTTACTTCAACGTCTAATTAAAATCATAATCATCGCAATGTAAAAAAATATTAAAGAATAAAGATATGAGCATAAAAAAAAGTAATCAGTAAAGTGAACATAAATACCTGGATAGCAATGAACATTAGATACTACGAAAAAGATAGTAAAAAAAAATGCAATCAATATTTTATTTGAGATACCCATGCTATAAATTTTTTTCTTAATTTATGATTAGTTTTCTATTTTTATTTTGATTGTTTAATATATGGTAAATATCAGGTAAATAAAATCCTAACACATAAGAAGATAAACTTCAATAAAAATAATTTTCCTTCTAAATATCTTTGATTTTAATTTCTTGGATAGTCAAAATAATATCCTAATTAATTATTTACCTGATATTATATTATCATTGGTGTAAAATCTTATTCT